CATCTTGTCATGTCATATCATATATAAACAACCTGCGACTCTGTACGTATGCTTGCACCTTTTTTACATATGTGTGTGTGTGTCTATACGTGTGTGTGTGCATATATTTATATGTACATACAGTCTCACACATACATATATAAATATAAATATATATATATATAATACATATACATATGACATGGAGCCCACACTCCTAGGCTAGGCCATGCACGAGGTGGCCGGGGTGGGGGAGGCACACTCGCGTTGATATGCACCGTGGCTTCCAAATGGCATCGTGCAGAGGCTGTTCTTCGGGTGTTTCAAGGAAGTGGAGTCTTCCAACATCCCCTGCGCCCGACGCTGGCAGTTATAGAATGATGCAGATGTTGCACAGCCAACTTTGATCTTTGCAACCTTGCTTAGCAGTGCCCATGAGCGCAATTCAGGGTTGGAGATTTACCGGCAAGACATCAATCCTGAAAGCAGCTAGAGACCCCCAAAAACGCCAATATGACGGCACGGCCCTGAACAATCCAACCTTCAAACCCAAGCTTCCTGCAAATGTCGGCGATGTTGGACCAACCATATTCAGCTTCACACCAGTAGAAAGTGAGTCCTTCGAAGTTGATAAGCTCACACTGCGCAAATGCCCTTCAACATACAACAGGCCTGAGACTACATTGAAACATATTGAAACTGTATTTCTCTATACCAATACTATTCTCAACCATATCATACTATACCAATACCATATTAAACCACTATATTCATGAACCGTTTTGCTTTTAAATTACTCTCACTTGCTTGCAGGCCTTTGGCCGAGCTCGGCGCCTTCGAGTCTCTGGATCACCTGTCAGGCGCGTGGAGCGCGTCTCGGACTCAAGGAGGCATGTTCGTGCTTTTAGGGCTTTAGGGTTCAGGGGTTTCGGTTTCTGCCCTTTTGAGCCCCGGGCTTCACACCGCAAGATTTTGATTAGCGAGGCTGCAGTAGTCTGTGAACAGAGAGGGCTTCGGCGCTGCAGCGGCCAGAATTTTCTGATCGGGAAGTTGAATCAGCTGAGTCTGTGGTGCCAGCCTTCAGAACGGAGATGTACCCCAAGTCCAACCAAAAAGCACGGACGCGAAATACGCCATCTATCAACCCAGGTCTCGATATGCCTTGGGCGAGGCAACCGCGGGAACCTTGATGACCTTGATGACAGCGTATCTGTTCCGAAGCTTTGGGTCTCAGTAGTGCAGGGTACTTGAACTTAATGTAGGGTCTATACTTTCTATGTAGCGTCTTCGGCTTAAGCTACTCCTTGTCTATGTTCGAACGTGGAGAGCCGTGTGTCCGAACCACACTCTAAATAATTCTGTTGGGCACCGGCAGTGGGCAACAGTATGCAACAGAGTCCAGAAAATCACGCTTCTGTGCCGTGACTATGCAGTCAGTGCGAGATACTTCCGCCATCGAAAACAGAAGGGTTGTCAACTACATAGCTTGCGATGCTGATGCAGGTGGCTGCCAGTACCCCGCCAGCACGAATACAAGCCGGCCTTTGCGGTGTGTGTCTCTCTTGGCCAGTGGGAACGGACAGACGCAAACACACACACGCAAAGAGAGAGAGAGAGAGGGACAGATAGATAGCACACTGACACCTTATCTAGACAGTTTTGCTCGGAGAGTCCGATGGCATATGCAAGCACTTGCTTAGTTTCATTCGCGCTGTGTCAACAGCTCGAGCTGCACAGCTGCAAAGACTTTCAGCAGAGGTGGGAGTCCTGGGGGACTTGGATATTGCCTGTCACCCAAAGAAGTGCCCCCGGCACCTCAAAACCCTGAATCTTGGCCAGAAACCCTTCATCCAAGGTTTCCACAAGCATATGACTTAGTCGTCGACGTAGATCTCGTGGACACGCTGAGCGCAAAGGACGATAGGGATGTGTTAGCTATGCGGTAGGCACCCGCAGAAATCTCCCAGCACAGATTTAAGTTAAACAACAGAAGGAAAACCTCAAAGACGGGAAGCTTGTCGAGGGCGGCAGTGCAGTTCCCGTGTTCGCGAGGCCGTGACAGCAGTGCAGAACAGTGTATACAATTGCAAAGCAGCCGACTGTTCTACATAGCATGTGTACACACATACGTTTATGCGTACAATCACGTCTGTGTGCATATCTATAGTCACAACTAGTTGGCTTATGTGTTCATTCACTAAGAACACGAACTAATACTAGAATCCCGGTATTCGGTTTAACTCCGTTATAAAGAAAAAAGTATGTAAGTAAGTATGAATGTATGTATGAATGAATGTATGTGTGTATGCATGCATGCATGCATGCATGCATGCATGCATGCATGGATGTATGTATGTATGTATGTATGTATGTATGTATGTATGTATGTATGTATATGTCTATGTATGTATATGTCTATGTATGCATGCATGTATGTATGTATGTATGTATCTATCTATGCGTATATGTATGTATTTATGCATGCATGTATGTATACCCATATTGTCTAATCAGATATAGTACCGATACAGATTCGGCTATGTCGCTATCTCGCTATGTATGCTCTAGTACCCTGCAGGTTTACAGATAGCATACAAAGATAGCTGCGGGCAGCTGACAAATATTTACATGTACCCTGATGCCATGTACTAGTACGAACAACAAACTACATAAAAGCAGAACCCACATGAACGTAAAATTGCTGTGTACAGCAGCACGCGTCAAAATTTGGTGAATTAGTGCTAGAACTATCAGAAAAGAAGACGCTCTCTGGCGGGTGCATACACGGATAATCAAGGGATTACGAACCCTTGTTCGTTTGTTTGTCTAGCCATTCACCGATCGGTCTTCACTTGTACAGTACATGCCCATCAGTGTATCCTTCCAGCCAACGCTTGATACGTCTATAGAATCTGCCTGCTTGTTAATCTAGCTTGTATCGGTTGCTTTACGACCCATCTGGAACTGCGTCCAGGACAGTTCTGTGTGCGCATGGTTGCTCATTGTCTCAGCATGAAGACGAACACCCTGATTCCCCCAAGCTATAGATAGAACCAATGGAGCTGTAGGGCAGAACCCAACGGTAATGGCGCCAGATATGGAGTGCTACTCTGCATCCCAACATTCACGGCAACTGGCCTGTAGGACTCCTCGTCGTTCTGCGATGCAGCAGTTGCCTCTACTCGATCTGATGGACACGTGGCGCGACTTGGTGGGAGAGGAGCTTGAGCTAGGCGGATTTCCACAACACCACGACGGCCAAGTAGGCTCGACAAATCCTACCTGAAACCCCTCCCTGGTCGATTGCAGTAGTCTAAGAGGATTAAGTTTTGAAGGAACCCGGGTCCTTCAACACATGCGCTGTTTTTGGATTCCTTCTTCGCGGGCATTAGAACATGGTTATGTCATGCATGTTTCAGACACGCGCCGTGCTGCCTGGCATTCTAGGCTGCGGTCAGCTGCATATCCCAAAGTCTACATTGTTGCATATCTCGCCGAAAAAATGCAGTAGAGGTGTCTTCGATGTGCCCTGTAGCCATGTCACCCGCTTCAAGCTGCGTCTCATCGCACAATGCGAAGGCCGAAGTCACACTTACCCCGCCTTTCCGAGGACACGAAGCTTGTATCCTCATTGCGACAGTAGGCGTCTGAGCAGTAGTGGTCCTTCTTACGGTAATGGCCCCGAGTTGTCAGACCGGGTGTTTGCATGACGAGGTTCGTGTCGGAAGAGCCCGATGCCTACGGCCCGCTGAAGCGAACGATGCGGGCACTTCAGCCCAGAGTAGACGCTGTGGCTTTTTTTAATTTTGATTTGGCCCTGGGGAGAAGATGGGTCTTGAAGACTGGAGTCTGAGGGTTTTTTTGGGGAGAAGGCTTGGAGGTCTGTTCAGGGCATGGAATCGGAAGGCCGCATCCGCTAAGTATGTCGAATGTTCTGCTTCGGATGTCGGTGCTGAAAGAAGAGGTATAAGTGGTGAAAGTTGATTCAAGACAGAGTACATAAGTGCTGGCTTTCTGGTGCAGCCGGGTCAGACTTTGGAATAGCAGCAAGGGTGCAGGCCGGCTCGAAACGGAAGAGGGTGTGTTTGTGGGACAAGAATCTTAACGACCCCTACTTCGCTTCACATCCCACATCGCGCAGTACCTCAGAGAGGCAGAAACACGGAGCAAACCGTAAACCCGAAAGGCCAAAAACCTAATCCCCCAAACCTCCGAGCCCTTCATCCTCAAACTGCGTAATGAGCGGGAGGCCTTTGAATTCCCTAACCTCTACGTCAGCGCCCCTGTGTTTCAAGGAGGGCCGGAAGTCTGTCCGCACACTGGATGATCGAAGGGCCCTCCACGTTTACCGCCTTGCAGGAGACTTTAGAGTCGGGAAGTTGGGGTGTAAGGCTTGAGGTTGAAAGGTTGAATGTTGGGTTTTTTCAGCTTTCTCAGTGTCCTAGAGGTGTTCTCTCGCAAAGACCAAGGACAAGGTTTAGGGTTCAGGGTTTAGAGATTAAGGGGTTTGTAAGGCTGCTATGTGCCTTCTACATCGTGTCTCGACCCAACTTTGAATCTCTAAGTGGGCACGTGCGGGTCATGGCTATTTTTGAGTAGAGCTTGGTGCACCGAGTTGCGACCGAGGCGGGACCCGAAAGCGTGCGAGTGTGTGCTTCTGTGCATACGAACTTTCTGCAAATGTTGCATCATATACTATGTATATCGCTCTCTCTCTCTCTCTCTCGCTCTCTCTTTCTCTCGCTCTCTTTCAGTCATAAGCACACAAAGACAGCCATGAACCGCGAAGTAGACCGATGTAGCTCAGCTGCACACTTGCTCTTAGCGAGAACGGCAGCACCACCATGTGCGTGCTGTTAGGGCACGGTGCTACAATGTCACAGCGGCTCATGGTCTATACCAGTTCCGAATGGTTAAATCAGTGCTGGCCTGCACTACCAGGACGTTGTGACTCTGTGCTTCCGCAGGCATTTCACAGATCATCGGAAGTTTGCCGGAGTTCCCTGTACGTGGTTTCCGCCATGGAAGAGCTGAGACGAATGGAGTCTCGAAGGGCTGCAGCCATCCCTGCTGACGATCTCTCGGGTGCGCCGCTGTCAGCGGCTAGGACTTGAACTCGTCCCCGAAGGCTCTAGTGACTCCAGTGGTTCAAGTTCTGGGTGTTTGCCAGGAGCCTAGCTTGGACTATCAATGGCTTCATTTGAGAAATTGAAGACTCCTCTTTCGTGCTTCGAAGGTCTGAACCACCATTTTCATGGGAATCCCTCAGGGCCCAACTGCCTTCAAGCATGCAGCTGCGCAGAAGCCGAGGAATAGCTTCTCAAGTAGACAGTACCCCTATATCGTATACCACCTTGTCATAAGCACAACTGAGACTGCCACAAGTGCAAGCAAGTTGTCAGGCAGACAGTTTCGAGGCACGTGATTGGCACTAGCTGCCTCTGCAGATTTATCTTATTCGTTGCGGCTATGATCTACTCTGGTCTAGTAAACTATAACATGCTATCATATACTGTAATATACTATATAGTACACCATATTTTCATGTACTAATCCTGGTCCACACTGTAGGCCCTGTAGTGTTCAAGACGCTGCAGGTGTCTTCTGTAATCCGCATACACGATCCTCTTCTCTCGAAATTGTCCGAAAGCACGGCCTGTGATGCTCAAGGTGAGGCTTCTTCTAGCCAGCTCCGTCGTGCTTATGATCTTGGGACTCTTTTTTATGGCTTGCTACGTGCCTTGGCTTCACTCAACAGATCCAACCGGGTTGCCCCAAACCGACAGCCGCCGAGCAAAACCACAGCAAGAAGTGAAAGGAATTGTGGAGCACGGCGACTCTCGAATACCCCCTTCTGGGACCCTACCAGCCCACCAACCAAAATTGCTTACAGCAGGCATTTGCAAGAAAGATGCAATATCCAGCTGATGACGGCCCGATTCGCTGGGCCAACCAAATCAGCATGCACCGGGGCGTTTGTTTCCCAGGCCGTCTTGCCCAGCGGGGCAATGGTGCAGGAGCTGATGTTTGCGCTAGTCTGCATGACGCTCCCGAGCTGAAAAACTGGTTCGTTGGAGTGTTGGCACACTCCGGACTGGTATGGGGCCTTGGGATCGGGGTTGGGAAGGTTTCCAATTTGGCGGCTTGACGACTGCATAGTCATAGTCTGTATGACGGCCAGCACAGAAGAGGACAGGTTGAGCTCCGTGGGAGGAGATTCGAGAGGGATTTGTCCAACTCCTCGCTTCTCTCACTGTAGCTCCAGTGTAGAGGCTGAGTGGATCTGCAGCATGCTGTCAGCCTAGGCTCGACAGAAGTGCCGGTGAATGCATGAGTGCTTCAGTGTAATTACATCCGTCGTGGTCGTCGCTGCATCGGTCCTACCTGTGCCCCCTCCAGCTGGCTTGTACTGGAAGAAAGCCCAATTCATAGGTCTTCAGCCACACTCAGCTTTTGGGTGCAAACTTTTAAACTTTTTTTAATGCCCTAAACCCTAACCCTTGGACCCTAAGTGCGACCGTAGCTTTTGGCCGCCCGCCGAGAAGATCCACCTAGACCCGAAGCCCCATCTACCGAGTGGCACTCGGGAGCTTCAGGCCTAGGGTGTAGCTGTAGGGCCCTTAGGGTCTAGGACGAATCTTACGATCTTGAGATGAAGGACTAAACATATTATTTGGGAAAAAATATTGTTTCCCCAATAATATGTTTAGTCATCACTCCTGGGACAGGAACTGCCAAGATCGACAGTGCATCGACATGGTGATAAGACTGTTTCTTCAAACAGACCCAGCGATTACCACCCAATGTATTCTTGCCAAGTGCAGGTGTCCGACTTCTTTACATCGCTCTATAAACCCCCCCTAAACCCTAAGCCCTAAAACCTAAACCCTAAACCCTAAGCCCTAAAGTCCCTTAATTCCTAAAGCCACGGTGCACACCTAGGTTCCTGACCGGAAGCCTCTCGTGGATGGCTTTGGTCCGGTGCCACTTACACCAGCAGGCTGCCATTGCGCTTGTCGGTATACTCCGACAGACCCGGTTCTATTCATGTAATCTGAGTTTGTCTGCAACTCTTGTAGGCTTCTTTCCTCGGAAACAGCGGTTTCATGTCTTGATGAGGCCCAATCAAGGCTTAAGGGAGAGGGACGTGGTTGAGACTCTCTTAGCTGGTCGTTTCGGCATTGTTGACGAAGTCATGTTTACAAGCCGTGCACCAGGCGACGCGCCAGGAGGAGAAGGAGATATCCCGGAACTCCCATGAACATGTGTGCCTTGGACTGACATTGCAACCCTCCCAAGAAATACATCCACCAGGCGCTCAGTGTCGTCAGCGGCATCTCACTGGGAGCTTCAGCTTAAATCTCCATGCGCAGCCTAACACAGAGCACGAAGCCCTCGGGCCTTTTACGAGACAGTTGAGGTGGGCGTCGATGCCGTTTCAGTCACTGGCTACGGGGCGTCCCGAGTTCCGACTGATGCAGGTCAGCTTTGCTTTTAAGTGCTCGCAGTTCCTTCGGAACTTCAGGGTTTTGGTTTGAGCATCGGCTGAGGGATGAGTGGGTTGGGGCTCTATGACTCGTACAGTTCAAGAGCCGAAGATGCTCACAACCTGTACATGGGGGAAAGACACACAAAGCCCCGCCTTGTGGACTATTTCGGTACTGGAAACTCAACATTTCTCTTGAACCATCAGGCAAGATGTCCAACAGCTAGTTCCCGACCCTATGGCTTTGTGTTTCTACCAGTAGTAGCGCTGAACACGAGACCTATGAACCTTAGCCTCAAGGCAGTTGACGCGATGTACTTTCAGACCTTGCTCACCCTGTAAGGCTTAGGGTGTAGGGGACCAAAAAAATCCCAAGCCCTTGGCCCTGTGCAGAGGTTGGGGTTGCTGCCGGCACCGCCAGACCTACAAAGTCTCTGTCTCAGGGTCGAGTCAGGCGAAATCTGTCGTTATGGGATTTGCGAGGAACGGACTTTAGGTTCGTGTAGAATAGTTTAACATGTTTTACGGATTAGGCATCCTTCGTGCTGTGTGAAGGTTGGTTGTGCCAGGGCTCGCGCAACTGCGGCTGGAGGAAGGCTAGAGATGTGCCGGAGGTATGTGTTTAAAGGCTCATACCAAGTCCGAGTTCAACTCCTGGTTGTGCCTGTTATGGTGAGGATACTTTGGTCATGTGTTCGTGTCAAACCTCTGTTCCCTCGGAGACAACGCCGGGATTTCGAGGAATTTCCAAAGATGTGCCCGGTGCTTCCTTTTTGTTTCCGCCTGTCCGGAGGTCGCTGCTGGTGTGAGCCAAGCTTTCATGTCCCACCCACCGGAGAAGGTGCATGTAGGACAGACTTGCCCCCGAGCTGCTCAAGGTTTCGAAACGCATGTCGCCCTTTATCCCAGAGCTGCCGTAACTGGATCGAGGAAAGTGCTTCAGAAAGCAGATGTACTGCCGACACAGACGTGCCTCGACTGCAACGGCGCCGGGGAAGACCTCAGACTGACCAGACCTCGAGATGATCCCCTCGCAGCCCTGCACCGGCCGAGGGACGAAAGACATTGCAACCGACTCCCAACTTTCAGCAGTTAGAACAACTGAGAAGAGATGTACAGAAAGTATTCTAGCCGGAATCCCTGTAACAAGACATGAGGTGGGTACAGCAGACGTGCCTTTGTTGTCTGGAGGACCGAAGCCGGCAGTCAAGTGACGGTCATCTGTTCGGAGTTCGGGATTGCGGGTTTGGGGCCCAAGGGTTTAGGGATGCATAGTGTTCGTGAGTTGTGCATCTATCTATGTTTGTACAACTTCCGACAGATCGAAACTGAATGTCAGCAGCAGCCCAGAGGCATTCTGGGCTCAAATGGCCCAGCCGATCCAGAAAACGAATTCTTCAGAAATTGAGAAGTTGTTGCTGAAGGCAGTGTAAGGACCTTCTAACAGACAACTTGCCAAGAACACATCCTCCGAAGCCGTACAAACGGTTCGCCAGGCTGCAGAGGATGTAGGATTGGAGCGTCTCCAACCCGAAATTCTGCCGGGTTGTCATTACCTGTTGTATTTACTCTCTATATATATATATATATATATATATGTGTGTGTATATATATATATATGTATTTCTTAATCTGTCCCAATTCATGTGCTAAAGTAGCTCCATGCCTGTAAGGACATAACCAAAACCACGAACAAATCAAACAAAATGCACACCAAAGTAATTTAAGTGGTAAGATATAGCCTAGATAACATATCGATGTTTTATGCATATGCGATGTAATGCCCAGAGACTCCAATACCCCTTAATTAAGGAATATACCTTAAATCAGATTAGGGATCCTACTATAATTTAAGGTGTATTCCTTAATTAAGGGGTATTTGAGTCTCTGGGTGCAATAACAAACCTATTCCCAGTGACAGGATTTCAAGGGCCCGGACGTCATCTCTTTGTTGCCCTGTGGGCACATTTACCACGAGGCTGCTGGGAGACCAGGGCTTTTCAGTGTAAGCTATTGGGCACTACCTAATGGAATGTGAATGGCCCGAAGAATCAAGCTGGTTTTGTAGTATACGTATGTGTACCATTCTATAACGCGTATGTATGTATGTATGTATGTATGTATGTATGTATGTATGTATGTATGTATGTATGCATGTATGCATGTATGCATGTATGTATGCATGCATGTATGTATGCATGCCTGTATGTACGTATGTATGTATGTGTCCATGCCTGTATGTATGCATGCATGCATGTAATGCATGCATGCATGTATGTCTGTATGCATGTATGTATGTAGAAATGTACGTATGTATGCATGCATGTATGTATGCATGTATGTAAGTATGTATGTATGCATAGAGGTATAGGTGCCTAGGTGTATAGATGTATGTATAGGTTTGTAGATGCAGGTATTCATGCATGGACGGATGGATGGATGGATGGATGGATGGATGGATGGATGGATGGATGGATGGATGGACGGGTGGATGGACGGATGTATGCATGTATGTGTGTATGATGTAGATGTGCAAACATACATATACATACGCATCGCTAGCTCTTCGAGCACCGAAAAAGAAGTTGAGGCGAGTGCGTTCTCGGAGCCAGCCATGGGGGCCAAGGCCTAAACCCTAGACCCTAAACCCTAAGCTCTAAACCCTAATCCCCAATCCCTAAACCCTAAACCCTAAGCCAAGAGAGCAAGGAAGCAGAAGGATCCTGGCTTCGGGCTGTGCCGGACTTGGCGAAGCTAAGGAGTACTCCAGTAAAACAGAACAAAAAAGAACAGAGTAGAGCAGAATATATAATAGAACAGAGTAGAGCAGAATATTAGAAGTGAATAGAAAAGAGCAGGATAGACTAGACTAGAACAGAAGAGAACAGGATATAACAGAACAACACAGTACAAGGTGCACGGCACTGGCTTGGAACTTCCGCTCAGACCCCAAAATCTCCCTCCTACCAGAAGCCCAGCATGAGAAGGCTGCATCCCCTTAAAGGAGGCCTTAAGGGTTAGCCTAGTATAGGGTTCCATAAAAGGATCCCCTTAAACGGCACTATAGGATTCTATAGCAAGAGCGCCAAAACCCGACACCTCTTCGTCAGGCATGCCTTATGGAGTGGTTCACAGCGCGGAGGTCCTCGGGCTCTTGCCCGGTCTGCCGCCAGCATCCCGAAATTGTTTAAGCCTGTGACAATCACAAGGCTTGGAGAAGGTCTTGTCATGGGAGCCAGACTTTGACCTACCTGGGTTTTGCCAGGCTGCGAGGGAACTGAACAAGAATGGTCGTTGAAGGAAGCACAAAGCAAGAACTTGCCACTCATGCTGCTCATCGCAGCTTAGTTGCAGGACTATCCTAAACCCTAAGCCGTCATGCATGCGAGCCCATTCTCAGGAATATCCTGAGCTCTTTCAAGCGTCCAGGCACAGGGAAGAGCACGGAGTAGCCTCAGCCAGGCAAGGCCCAAGGACGAGTCGAGACTGTAGAGCTTCAGCCGTGTAGTAATTTAGGGCCTAGGGGGTGTAGTAGTGTAGTAAGAGTTTGGGGCTCAGGGACTCAGGATTTATAGGTTGGGGTGTTGAGTTAAGGTCGTTAGAGAGGGTCGCTAGGGAGGTTCACAGTTTTTCTGTAGGGTTAGGGGCCGATTGTCACCACAGATACATCACATCAAAAGAAAAGAAACAATGCTGCAGGAAAAGATCGTCGTTGTTGTCGATGTAGCTGAACCTGGTCAGGAAGGCCAAAGAAGTGGGGTTGTGCACGAGCGGAGTTGTGTTGGCAACAATGTTGGCGATCTCGGCCTCTCGTCATGTCGGCCTCATGTGAGGATAAGCGAAACTACGTTGGATGAAGGCAATCTTGCACCACCTAGAGAACCAAATGTGTGCAAACCAGCAGCCAACTGCTTCGCCCCCTGTTCAGGAATCTGTTTCCTGACGGAGAGGTGTAAGTAACATTTCTGCGGTTGGACCCAGCCCTGAACACTCAAAGCTGCCTAGCCCTGTAGGATTAGTATTGGACCTCTGCAGCCCACTTGCTATCCCGATCAATCGACTTACCTCGGATGTGTTGCAGGTTGGGTTGCCGGTAAATTAATTGATTGTCTATCGGACAGAAGGGCAAGAAAAAATCGAAAGATCGACGGGAAGTCAGCGAAAGGGCCTTGAGGCTCCTGGCGCCGAGGGCGTGTCGAGGCGGCTTCGGTGTAGTCTGTGTCCTGGACAACCCTTCCGGACAAGAGTCAGAGTTAGGGTCAATTTAGAGCTTCAGCCCTTGGGACTTCGGGACCCTGTAAGGGTGAAGACCCTAACTTTGTCTCTAGAGATGGCGATGTGAATACCCCGGCGCAGCTCGTCCCATCAATCATGCCATGAAACGATACTCCCCACCCACCCACACGCACACACACACACACACACACACACACACACACACGCACATATACGCATGAAGGGCTCCAACCTCTCAGTCTTGCCACAACCTCAGCCTCGGTGTCCCCCAAGGCGCTCTTCCGTGGTTTCCAGTCTTTGTGATGGTAAAGGCATGGTCGCAGCAGCGACAATACTGAGGGACCTGATCACTGTGCCCATCAAGCATCCCCTTCATGTGGCGGAAAGGTTCTACAGAGAGAAACCAAAAGGCACGGAGGTCTTACAACCTATCCAATCTTGAGGAGCCGTCATGAGACACATGGCTACTGCTTGCAGAATTCCAGAGGCCCAGATATACAAAACGGAGCATCCGAGTAGTGACGGGCGGCGGCCATGGAGCCCCTGAGCAGTATGTCCTTTTAGGCCGAGTCTGTCTTGGGCGGCGATCAAAGCGGGCCGGACCCAAGCCGCAAAAGTTGCAACCGATCTGTTCATCCCTAGCCGAACATGTAAGTTTCGGATTCCAAGTGGATGTGCAAAGCTTTAAGATGTTGGGTCTCAGGTTTGCACGGTCCTTTACCTGCTGCTGCTTCAGTTGTTCCACCTTTGACATCTACAGCTCTTTGGGCCATGCTCCGTGGCTACTGTTGCTCTGCCACCTCGTGCTTCCAATGCTTCCGCTCCTCCTGCTACTGCTGCTTGTATTGCTGCTACTACTACGACTACTACACGACTACTACTATTACCACCACCACCACGACGACGACAACGACTACTACTACTACTACTACTACTACTACTACTACTACTGCTAGTACTGCCAAAACTACTACTACTGCTGCTGCTACTGCTACTACTACTACTACTGCTACTGCTACTACTACTACTACTACTACTACTACTACTACTACTACTACTATTTGCTCTTTCTATTACTACGTACTTACTACTACTACGACGACGACGACTACTACTACGATTACTATTATTACTGCTGCTGCTACTACTACTACTACTACTACTACTACTACTGCCACTACTACTACTACTACTACGACGACGACGACGACGACGACGACGACGACGACGACGACGAACTACTGCTACTACTACTACTACTACTACTACTACTACTACTAGTACTACTACTACTACTACTACTACTACT